TTGAGGGGGGGATCTCCCAATCCACTTCCCTGTCCCTGTAATGACAAATGATCATGTGACTCCTAAATAGTAGGAAACTTTTTCCATTTCACTATATATAATTTTGTTTCTTGTGTTATTATGTTATGTAAATTTAATGGTATAAAGGTTATGAACCCCTAGAGTTCATCCCCACTTTCCTAATGAGCTGAAATGTTCACAATATGACTGCATTAAATTGAATAAAAGTGCATCAATTATAAGATTACTTGACATTTTATTCATGAATTTGTCTCAACCTATCTTCCTAGAATTAGGAATGAAAATCATTCAGAGACGGACCACATTAAACTATTTGTATAAACATTTTTTTTAAATGTAAAAACAAGTAGTAGTTTGCATACATGAACATTGAACAGGGGTCTGGGAAGGGGTGAGGGGAAGGATCGAGTTAATATTTCTTTATATACGTCTTAATGGTTGAAAACTCCTAAAATGAATGTTGACCTCAAATCTAACTTGTCCTCATTATTTTTCAAGTGGTGGTGTCTCCATATGAGTGAAAAATACCTGAGAGGGATGTTTAACAACAAACAAAATGACATAAAAACACAATATTGATTTGCGTTAAGAAATATGCAGGGGATTTTTTCCATCATAAATCTTCTTCTCAAGAACAGCAAGGGCATTATTGTCCACCATTTTGGGGAAAGGGAGGGGACATTAAATCTCATTTGTCTGTAGGGCTGGGACGATACCGAACTTAGCCGATCCAATACATATCATGATACCTTAGGTGCGATACGATACATATCATGATACATTTAAAACCAAATAAAACTAGATATTTTTTTTTAGAACATTTAATTTGGAACATTACAGATTATGAAAAATAAACTAATTCAACAGAAACCTGACTTACTGCCATTGGGTTTTTGTTGATTTTACATAATCGGGCGTGTCTGACACCATTCTGACGCTTGTATTTTGAATTCTGTATCACCAAGACGTTTGTACTTTATTTCTGATTGTTTAAATGTCTTGATGATACAGACTAATGGACATAAAATTTCGAATTCTAAAGCCCGGACATTTTTGGAAATTAAAAAAAAGTGCGGTCAGGTATCGTGATACTAAATTAGATGAATCGATCCGTATATCGTCAAAGTGAATACTGTGATGCATCGGTGCACCGGTGGATCGTCCCAGCCCTATTTGTCTGTCAGTCTGTCCATCTTATTTACAGCTAGTATGTGCATCTGTCACAATAAATTTAACCTTGGTCATAACTTTTGAATAATAAGAGATTGTGCTTTCATATTTCACATGTGCATTACCACAAAACTTTCTAAATACACTATGATTTTTTAACCGAAGTGAGACCTTGACCTTAAAGTTTTACCTACTTTCCAAAAAATAACATTTTAAATTGATCATTTTGAAAGAGAAAAGAAAGGGCATTCAAATTATACATGTTTATTACATGTGAAAAGACTTTTCTAAATATATCATGACTTTTGACTCTGTGACATTGACCTAGAAGTTTAACCTACTTTTCAAAAATATTATATTGTATATATAAATTTAGATTCAAAAGAGATAGGACTTTCATATTTGACATGTACATTACCTGCAACAAAATGTTTCAGAGCATGCTATGATTTTTCCCCTTTGACCCAATTTTCAAAAATTGATATATGATAGGGGTGCATATTTGACACACAATCTGCCATAAATTATGGCATCCCATTCACTAAAACACAGAAAGCAGAGGACTACAATTCTTTGAATTTGCTTGTATAATCTTGATAGATGGAAACATCCTCATATAATGTAGATTCAAGTTTTTTATGCCACACCATGATTAGGAATACATACATGTATAGTTTTTGTCATGTCCGTCCTCCACCCTTCCATCTGTCTTTCCATCGGGCTCAAAGAAACTTTCTAGATATTTTTATCAAAGTTCATATGTTGATGCATACTGATGTAAAT